ATCGGTCAAATATGACCAATCTGTCATATTTGTCAACTAAATCAGATGATCGCCGCAGTTACAGATCACGGCTTCAATACTGATCTTCAAACATGGTTTCAATACATTCCAGAATTTGATTACCAAGAGGTCTGACAACCCAACAGGCAATGCACGGCCTAGAAGAATCCTCTTGGAAATCAATTCCTATAGCATACACAGGCTGCGATTCTAATACATGATCGATATCATCTTTTCGACTAATGAGTAATTTCTGTAACTTTTCCACTTCAATATATGAAGTAGCATCGATTCCAAAAGAAATGGTTGATTTTATTGAAATAAATTCTACATTAACATCATAGTATGTATCATTCCAAATATTTGAATTTTCAGTACTAATATTAACCGTTGGTTTATTAAGCTGAATTCGATTAAAAGGATAGTCATTGGTATTAATATGAATTTCTTCAACAATTTCATCCATAGATTCTAAATTTCAATTAATTTGAAAAAGTAAAACACAAAAAAAAAGTCTTTAGTTTTAAAGGAAAAATATATCTAGCAGAACAGATATATTGTACGTACCTATTAATTCATTATTTCCAATAATAATCTTGTTATTATGCCCAGCTAATTCTTTATACCATTCTAATGCTTTACCTTCATTCTTGTCGATTCCCGACCCAAATCTATAAAAATTGCCTAAATTAAATTGTGCAATTTTATTACCATTATTTGCTGCTTGCTGATACCAATAAAAAGCTTTTCTTAAATCTTGTTGTATAGATATACCATTTTTATAAAAGAACCCTAAATAACTTTGGGCATTGCCATAATTTTGATTAGCTGATTTTTCATACCATTCAAATGCTTTGTCTTCATTCTTTACAATTCCCCATCCATTTTGATAATACAAACCTAAGTTATATTGTGCATGATTGTTGCCATTTTCTGCTGATTTTTTATGCCAATAAAAGGATTTTTTTAAATTTTCTTCGCATCCTTCACCATTTGCATATGATAATACAAGCTTATATTGTGCATCTGCATCATTATTTTCAGCAGCTTTTTGATACCAATAAAAGGTCTTTTCTAAATTCTTTTCTGTTTCTTCACCATTTTCATATAATATTTCTAAGTTATATTGTGCTCTTACATTATTATTTTCAGCAGCTTTTCGATACCAATTAAAAGCCTTTTTTAAATTCTTTTCTGTTCCTTTACCTTTTTCATATAAAAATGCAAGATTAAATTGTGCATCTCTATAATTATTTTCAGCAGCTTTTTGATACCAATAAAAGGCTTTTTCTAAATTAATTTCTGTTCCTTCACCTTGATAATATAATTTTCCTAAATTAAATTGTGCATCTACTTGATTATTTTCAGCAGCTTTTTGATACCAATAAAATGCTTTTTCTAAATTCTTTTCAATTCTTTCACCATTTTTATATAAAAGTGCAAGATTAAATTGTGCATCTCTATAATTATTTTCAGCAGCTTTTTGATACCAATAAAAGGCTTTTTATAAATTTATTTCTGTTCCTTCACCTTGATAATATAATTTTCCTAAATTAAATTGTGCATCTACTTGATTATTTTCAGCAGCTTTTTGATACCAATAAAATGTTTTTTCTAAATTCTTTTCAATTCCTTCACCATTTTTATATAATAATGCAAAGATTAAATTGTGCAGCTATATTATTATTTATTGCTGCTTTTTGAAAATAATCAAATGCATTTTTATAATTTTGTTTTGTTCCTCTTCCTAAATAATTGTTCAAACCAATTTGTCTTAATCCTTCAAAATATATTATTTTATAAAATTTATTATTTTTGTTTTTATTTATTTTAATATCTATATTATAATACTTTTTTAAAGTATCTTTTGCAATAATATTACCATTCTTTGCAGCATTTTTATACCAATATACAGCTTTATTTTTATCTATACTTGTTCCAATTCCATTATAAAAACAATTTCCTAATTGATATTGTGCATCAGAAATTTCCTTTTCTGCCAAAATTTTATAATACTTAAAGGCTTGTTTCTCATTTTTTTCAATTCCTTTTCCTAATTTTAAGCATTCTGCTAAGTGAAGTTTTGCAATAATATTTCCATTAATAGCTGATTTGTAATACCAATAAACTGCTTTCTTTTCATTTTGTTGAGTACCGATACCATATTCATAGCAATGTCCTAGATAAAATTTTCCTATTATACTTCCATTTTCTACAGATTTCTGATACCATTTAAATGACAGTTTTTTATCACATTTGATTCCATATCCATTATAATAACATTTAGCAAGATAAACTTGTGAAATTGCATAACCTTCTTCTGCTGCTTTTAAAAATAATTCATATGCTTTAACACTATTTTCATTTACACCAATATTGTAATAATAAAATAATCCAAGAAACCATATATATTGTATATTCTGTTGATTTGTTAGCCAATATAAAAGATGATCTATTTTGTTTAAATGTGACAACTTTTGCATAATAAGCTCATTAATTTGATCAAAAGTCACACCTTCATTTGTATTTTCATTACAAATTTAATTAATCTATCAACAATTATATGATTTATAAATATTGAATCAACTGAGCCTTTTGATGAATTATCAACTTGAAACATTGAATTTAAATTATTTTTACTTGATTGAATAGTTATATTACTTTGCAAACTAAAACTGCTTTCATTAATAAGATCTTCGATTTTTTCTATATCTTCTAAATTCTTCTTCCCCTCTTTTTTTGATTTAAGGTTAGATTTATCATTAGTAATCATATTGGTTAGTGAATTATTTTTGAAATTCATCATATTTGATTGAAAAGATGAATTACTTTGCAAACTTGAACTGCTTCCATTAATATTATTATAAAAATTGAAATCTTCAAATAATTCTAAATCCTCTAAATCCTCGTCTATTTCTTTACTTGATCTAATGCTAGATTTACCTTTTATCGGTAATTCAATCTCTTCAATAAAATTTGCATTAATCAATTCATCATCTTCAAGAGAAATAATTGCTTTAAGAGTTGAAATGACTTTTTGCATATTTGGACGCTCATAATTTTCGTAGTTCCAACATTCTAATTTAATGATTAAAGAATTAGAATTCGTTTTAAAAAAATAAAAAATATTATTTATATTATTTACCTTGATACAGATTACTGTATTCAGGTGGAGTTGCATCAATAATTTTTTCTCTCTTGCCATTTAATATAGATAGAAATAAATATTCATCATAATCAACTCCTTTAAATGGTTGATATCCACTTGAAATTTGCCACATCAAAAATTCCAATACTATAGACATCGGATTTTATATTATAGTTGTAATCAATATTTTTATCGAAACACTTTGGATCCACATAAGGTAATATACCAAATACTTTCGATGAAATTTCTGATTCTTCAGCAAATTTTTTTGATAAACCAAAATCTGCTAATTTAATCATTTTTTGATGTACAAGTATATTATCTGCATGCTATAATTTTTTAATGAACAGTATAACAGTATCCAAAGTCAATAAAATTAATAATAAATTAATTTCAAAAAAAAAAAAGTTAATAGTTACCAAATCGCAATGAATTATATCACATTCGTGTATGAACTCTACTGCACTTGCCAATTGTATAGCTAGCTGATATTTGTCATTCCAATCAAGGTCATTAAAATGTTTATCTAAATAAGCATTTAATGTTCCGCCATCAGCATATTCTAAAACTAAAGAATATTTGTTCATTTGACGGATTGAGTTGGCTATTAATAAAAATAATGAAGTAAAATTAATATATTTGTCGAAAAATTTAAATATATACTATCCCTAACATTACCAGCTATTTCTCTTGTGATACCAAAAAATCGAATTATATTTTGATGAACATCAACTCGTTTATGTAATTTTATCTATAAAGAATTTTAATATATTAATTTCAATTTATAAATAAAGTTTTAAAACATTATAATCAACTACCTCATTTACGACTTCTTTCAAAGTTATTGTATCGTTATTAAAAGGTTTCAAAACAAAATAACGATCCGGGATTTTCCAACTCGCACGAATAACGCTTCCAAATGAGCCATTTCCGATTTCTGTTAAATTGTTAAAGTCCGAATATTTATAATGGGTTAGATATTCATCAGAAATTGATTTTTCTAACCAATCGATATAAATATCAGGATTATTTGACATTTATTTTTTTCTTCAATTGACCGTTTTAGTGTAACTTATTTATCACTGACCATCCTTTAAATAAACAAAATTTCGGAGTTCAAATTCCGCAAATCTAAAATGTGGTACAGGTTAACTTATATAGGTAAGATATGCACTATTTTTCACTCCCGTCACACCAGGCAGTGAAGCATAATTTCTATTTATTTTTTGGACTTAGTTTTTTTCACTTTTTTCACATGGTATGAAACCTATTTGTCTGGCACAGCTAACCATAAAATCATGGCAGGCTGACCACTTAAAATGGCACACATTTTAGATGCCGAACAATTACCGACACGTGATGAATTTTGCTGATCTTATCTCAAATAGTTAGATCATTTTTTATATAGGTATGTTTGCGCGTTCTACAAGTTTTCTTAAGATCAAAAGGAAGGTTTTAAATTCCATTTTTTAACTCACATTGTTTTGTTACAAAGAAATCTGTATTGAAAACATCAATTTTCTCCCCAAGTAAATTTGTAGAGAAGATAAAAATTGCATATAAGATGCGATTTTAGAAAATCAAATTTTTTTTTGTTAAAATGTATTATCTATTTTTTGGAAATGATCAGTAAATTCAGATCACGTGCCGGCGATTTTTAATCAGATTTTCAGAGTAGCTCACGTGATTTGTAAACCATCTTTGAAAGTAGCTATTAATCCATAAAAAGTAGTCTTAATCCTTGAAAGAAATAATCGATCTCTAAGCAAGTGATAATAAAATATGATATCGTCGCAAGTGGTACCTTTAAAGAAATGCATCAATCTATTATAAGTGGTTTTGATCTTAGCAAGTGGTTATGATCCAAAGTTAAAACTGCGATTGATACATCGAAAAAAATCCTTTGATTCTATCACAAGCAGTCTTAATAAACTATTGATCCTATCATAAGTGATCGATCCTTTGATAAAATAATTCGACCTCTAATAGCAACAGTATAACTCAGTTAAATTTCAATGTTATCACAAATATATTCTTTGAAATTCTTAGAAGAAATTCGATCCTATCACAAAGTGATCTAAAGGCTTGGCTGAAATTTGATCCTGGTCATGTGAAATTATCGATCCTTAACAAATGGTCATGATGCCTGGAAAAAAAATTTCTTGTTGCAAGTAAATCCTTTGGAGGAAAATTATGAGTCCTACAGTAAATGGTCAGTCCATGAAAAAAAATTAGACATATCACAAGTGGTCTTTAATCTAGAAGTTCCCGTCACAAACAAGTGTTGTGATCCTTGAAAGAAAATATTAATATCATCGCAAATGGTCATAATTCTTGGATGAAAATCTCCGTCCCTGTAGCAAATGGTCGAGATCCATAGAAAAATTAACTTTGTCGTTAGTGGACTTTATCCTAGGAAAGAAATCTGTTAATTCTCTCGTAAGTTGTTGGTATTCTTGCACTAAATAATTTAATATGAAATATGTGGCTGTAATTATTGGTCGAAATTTTATAATGTTGCATGTAGTTCCTTTAAAATAATCTATTAATCCAGTCGTGATAATATGATCACGTCGCAAGTGTTCTTGACGATTGGCTAGGTCGTGTCATGATCATCGGATGAAACCCATGAAGAAATATACAATATATGCTAACTATACTATTTTTCTTAAAACAATCATTATTGATATAAAATTTCACAATAATGTGCCTCTTTATTATATCACCATGTCCGATCATATTTTGTATTATCACATAAGCTTTGCAAATTTCGTTCTTTAAAAATATTCAAATTCGTCATATTAACTTTTAAATTTAATAGTTTATATTACCCAAAGTTTAGTATAAAAGTTATATAATATTTAGTATGAAATACAAAAGTTGTTATTGAGACGAAATTTTCTATAATTTGAATTTTATATTAATCGCTGACGGCGTTCCCAATAGGGAGGCAATAAAAACATACCAATATTAATCCAGAAGGTTTATTTCAAATGAACCAGCAAAATACTCGGCATGAAATCCATATTACTGCATCATTGACTTCATGAAGTAAGAATTTCACATCACATAATAAAAGAACATACTGTCGCCTATTATTCACTTGGAAAAAATTATATACATTCAATAAAATTATTCAGTTTCTAAATTTTGAAATAACAGATGGCGCAGTGACATGATCTACCTGAATTTTGTGCAACTTGAAAAGTTAATTATTATAAATATTTTATAAGACTATTATTCGTTAGAATTGACATTTGATAAAATAAACAAAGCGGTGTCATGATTTTCAATCAGTTGAATGAAATATGATCTGATCGATCATTGCATAATTAATAATTAATTCACACGCGCTAAGTGCGTGATTGTTGACCAAAATGGAAATCAATATTTGTCTTTTAGATTCCATTGTATGTGTAATCGAATCGCAGGAAAAGCTATTTAAACATCATTCATTAGAAACCAATAATTTATCATATAATCTTATAATGGATAAACAATATTTTGATTCTGAACGCGGTCGTAGAAGACGTGGTAAAGCTAATAATGATCGTCGTCGTGATGGAGATAGAGGTCAACAATCCCAAAGACCACCACCACCTAATATTCCAGAAATTAAAAAAGCACAACATGAGGCGACCATGGAAAATTTTCGTTCCTCCGAATTAACATATAAAGGTAGTGATCGAATAATCACCATACCCAATGGAGATCTGATTAAGTTCATATGGAAAAAAATCTTAAAAAAAGATAAAGAACCCTTGAATCAGAGTAATATTAGAATTTTCATTAGTTCAGCATTGGTTGCAACGAGTTATCAATCTGGTTATGAGGTTGATGAATTGGTATCAGAATTAGGTGATCCTAATGGTGGACTTAAGATGTTAAGAGAAATCATAAATTTTCCTTCAATGTCATGCGATGCGGGACTTAATCAAGGTGTATTATCCTTCCAATATGTCATATTACCTTTATTGGGATTATTAACGAGAACCTCAATTACCGAATGTATTTTGGAAAAGTACGTTCATGCCATCTTTATGGTCGTTTACACTAATCTTGTAAGTATTATTATTAATATGATTCTTCAATACTTTCCTCGTTATTTAATAATTCGATTTCTTGAATTGTAGGACTATTTTCTTTATGATAATGTAATGAAAATGTTGGGAACTTTGGTACAACGTAATTCTGTTATTGACTATCAAGTTAGCGTAGAATTATTATTGAGACACGAACGATATTCATTTATCCCAACTTCGTAAGTTCACATCCACGTATTAAACATAGATTTATACTGACGCAGCAAAACTAACCATTGCTTCATTCATATCTTGCTAGTTTGGGAATATTCTTCATAATCATCGTACGACTACTCACTGTGTTATTACGTCGCATCAAAGAAGCATCAATCAATGAAACCATGCACAAAATTGCGCAAGATCTGCACGATCTAAAGACCACATATCAACAATCTATTCAACAACAACAACCGTCTGCCACCTCAACTGACCCGTTAATCAATAATCTTGAAACAAGAAATTATTTTTTCATGATATTAGATAAAGAAATGAATATCATGAGCAAGTTATTAAATAATGGACGCGTTAGTTTAATTGATGAACAAAATCCGAATAAAAAGGAATTAATCTCAAAATTAACATCATTACGTTATAATGAAATGGCCAGGAAATCTGATATGGAAAGAATTTATGATCCGCCTGGCGGACTATCAAAGTATGGCAAAAGGCATAATAATGATTTTGAGGAAATTTCCAAAATTTCAATCATTCCTACGATAGAGGAGATATTGTGTGATCGTCCTCCTTTTTTACCGTTTTCACTTCCTGATGCACCGCATTTTCTGCCTGATGGTGCAGCTAAATTACTTGATACACAATTTCGTTTATTAAGGGAAGACATGTTAAATTTCATTCGTGGTAGCGTATCGAATTTATTAACCGCATTATCACGAAGTTTAAAACCTTCTCTTAAAAATAGTGAATTTTCAAAAGAATTAAGGAGGATCCAAAAAGAATTTGGTGGTTTACATGTATACACCAATCCACAATTTATTGGTATTACTTGTGATAAGAAAAAAGGATTCGTTTACACTTTAAGTTTTACTCCCCCAAAATGTCGAAATTCACATCATGAACGAGACAGGCAAGCATTTTGGGTAAAGAGTAAAAGGTTATTAACTGGTAGTTTGGTTACTTTATTATTACCGAATCCATATGCCAAGTATTCGGTTTACTTTGGAGTGGTTGCAACAAGAGATGAAAACGATTTGGCCAGGGACCCCGAATATTCTTATATTGGTATTAACTTTGTTGATCTATCAATTTATCCTATCGCGTTGGATGAGATTTCAAATCCTCATAAAGTAACCGAAAATTCACTAGAACAAAGATTTATGGTTGAATCGACCGGTGTTTATTTAGAATCTTACTATCACATTCTTAATACACTTCAATCTATGGATCCTCTTGATCTCCCATTTGAAAAATATCTTGCTCCCAATTTTGATGAACTTCATGAATTAAGTGATGGAGATGGTGGTGCTGTAAATGTTTTAGTTGAACCGCCAATGTATGCAAGGGCACCTGATTTTGAATTTGACTTGTCAGTTATATGTAATAAAAAGCGAAATTTAAAATTAAATGTTGCCAATACAAGCGGTTATGATGAAGTGGCGAAAAAGATTAACGATCATAGTAAATTAGATGAAACTCAAGGTACAAATAATTATTTCAATGAGCGGTTATAAAATATTGCTTATTTTATTTTTATTCTTTTCTTTATTTCACATTTTTAGCGAAAGCGTTAATCTCCGCTTTAACACGCGAGATTGCATTAATTGAAGGTCCGCCCGGAACTGGAAAAACTGTAGTTGGGGTTGAAATCATGAAAGTGTTATTGGCAAAAGAAAATCGAAAAACAAATCTTGGTCCCATCCTCACCATTTGCTTTACCAATCACGCACTCGATCAATTCTTGGAGGTATAGTGATATATAAACCTTGATCCGTTAAATCTGATATCGTTTTTTAAAGTATTAATGCAAATTATACAAATTACTTTCTTTATTCGCAGCATTTACTTGACGTCAACATAAAAAATATCGTTAGGTTAGGTTCTCGGACAAAATCTGAACGAATTAAGGCATATAATATAGAAGAGGTCTGTAGAAACATTCCTTTTGGTAAAAACGGATATGATTTACGTAAATCATTAAATGAAATCGAAAGTCGCGTAAAGGAGATTGGCAATAATTTTTCAAAAAGCTGGTTAAAATGGAATGACGTATCAAAATATTTAATGACCAAAGAACCGAATTTTTATAATAAATTTGAACGTGTCTCTAATGAGGATTTGCCAAGTTGGGTTTTGGGGACTTATAGCGGTGAAGAAGAATTTTTTAAGCCTGCTAATAATAAATCTGAAAATTTTCCCATATTTGAGAAATGGGTAAGGGGGAAAGATTTTGAAGTAATTAAGACGAGAAAGTATATTTTGCTAAATCCACAACAGAAGGATCAGAAGCCAAAGGAAAAGTCACCTAGTAGAAGAAACAAGTTTGAAATGTTACAGGAAGAAGAAAATAATGCGAACACAAGTGATGATGATGAATCAGAAACCGACCATGACACAATAAATTGGATTCTAAATTACAAAGAACCTGAAACAGATCGACCTTTGGAATCATTATTAAATTTAGATTCTATTTGGGAAATGTCAAGGTTGGAACGAAAAACACTTCATGATTATTGGCGTACAAAAGTTAATCAGGAATTCATAGAATCTTTATCAAGGTTACAAAAAATGTATGAAAATAAACGTAAATTTTGGAGTAACATGAATGACGAAGTGCGTCGTCAAGCATTATTACGTTGCGATGTCATTGGTATGACCACAAATGGCGCAGCTAAATTTCAAAGTTTAATTTCAAAGGTTAATCCTAAAGTTATTATTTGTGAAGAAGCTGGCGAAGTACTTGAAGCTCATATCCTTAGTACATTGACTTCCGAAACTCAACAGTTAATATTGATCGGAGATCCAAATCAACTTCGACCTCATATTGCTACTTATTCTCTTAGTATGGATTCATCTTTAGGAAAAAATTATCAATTAGATAAGTCATTATTTGAAAGGTTAGTTAACGGTGATAAAGCGACTAAAATTGAGAAGGTTCAACTTTCAACTCAGAGACGAATGAGAAAAAATGAAATTTCTGATTTAATTAGATATACACTTTATCCAAATTTAGTTGATGCTGAAAATACTGCTAAATATCCAAAAGTGCGTGGTGCTCAACATAATGTTTATTTCATTGACCATCATCATCCAGAAGTTAATCCTGATGGAGATTTTGCAGCGCAATCTCATGTGAACATTTATGAGGTCAAGATGGTGGTGGAGATGGTGAAATATTTTATTAAAAATGGGTATACTAAACCTGATGATATAGCTGTACTTACCCCCTATTTGGGACAAATGATGAGAATCAAAGAAGCTTTATCTGAATTATTTGTTGTAGTATTGGATGAAAGGGATGAACAAAATCTTGCTGAAATGGAAGAACAAGAAGTTGATAATGATATCATTGAGAACGTGAAAGTTTCAGAAAAATCATTATATCAACAAGTTACTTTAAGAACCATCGATAATTATCAAGGTGAAGAAGCAAACATAGTCATCATTTCTTTAGTTCGTAATTTTTCCAAATCTGATAGGCTTGATACGATTGGATTCTTAAAAAGCACGAATCGAAGTAATGTACTGCTGTCACGTGCACGAGAAGGGATGTATCTTTTGGGTAATTCTGAATTGATGGAAACAAAATCCAAAGATATGTGGGCTCCTGTAATTAATATATTACGAACACGAAATCCTGCACAAATTGGTTTTGGTATGCCAATTGCATGTAATAAACATCCTAAATACAAAAATGTAATTGTCGAACCCGAACAATTTGAATTAGTCAGTCCGACTGGGGGATGTTTTGAGGTAAACCATTTGTTGTTCTATTATATGTTGAAGTTTTTTTTCCTTTCATATAATATATTTATTTTATATCTAATTTTACTGTTAAATTTATTTCAGCTATGTCGTGCAAAACTTCCCTGTGGACATACATGTACTTCTATGTGTCATACGGATGATCCTCAACATCTTGGAACTAAATGTCTGGAGCGTTGCCCGAGATTACATCCAGTATGTAACCATCCATGTCCAAAGATTTGTTATGAAAATTGCGGACTATGTTATTTTCCCATTGGTGATATCAAATTACTTGGTTGCGGACATGTGTTAAAGAACGTTACGTGTTGGCAATATCAAAAAAAGGATCTCAGATGTTTAACTACGGTCAAAAAACAACTAATCAGTTGTGAACACTCAAAAACCATTTACGTGAGTTTATTTACTTAACTATGTTAATTATTATATTTTAATTAATAAAATCTTAATTGCATTTTTAGTGTTACGAGTCTGTTGAAAATGTCAAGTGTGAAAAGGAATGCGGAGAAGTTTTGAAATGTAATCATAGATGCTCAAATCAATGTTTTCAATGTCAAAATCTTTCTAAACCACGTGATGCTAAAACACGAGATGAAGACGAGGTGGATGACAATATCGTCCCTATTGAACGAACAGTGCATGGCAAATGTAAACAATTTTGTAATAAATTGTTATTTTGCGGACATAAATGTGCGAAATATTGTCATGAAGGGAGCGCATGTCCACCTTGTAATGATAAATGTATAGTAACATGCAAACATGCATCATGTAACTTACGTTGTATAGAACCTTGTTCTTTATGTGCGAAAGAATGTTCATGGGAATGCGAGCATCAAGGAAGATGTAAACTAAGTTGTGGAATTCCTTGTAATAAGTTGCCCTGCAATGAAAGTTGTAACAAAATGTTGGAATGTGGGCATAATTGTGCAGGAGTTTGTGGCGAAATATGTCCTTCAAAAGATTTTTGTATTATTTGTGCTCCTGAACATGTTAAAAGACAAGGTATTTTAATTTTCATATGTTGAAATTTATTTTTTCTGATTATTACTATTTCTGAATAGTTTTTGTTTTAAAACAGTATCAGATGCAATTAAGAATATTTCATTCAGTAAGGTAGATTGGAAAAAGAAAAGAATGATTGTTCTTTCTTGTGGACATGTATATACCATGGAAACCATGGATATGCACATGGGTATGGAAGGTTATTACGAATGCGAAGGCGTATTCGAGAGGAATTGGACATCAGTTAAAATCCTTCCAGCATCAACAGTAAATGTCAAAGCGTGTCCAGAATGTCGAACACCTATTAAAAATATTAGGAGATATGGTAGAATAATTAACAAATACATCATGGACGCACAAAACAAAAAATTCCTAACAAAATATGATAATCAATTAAGTAATGTAACTAAACGAGTAATTTCATTGGAGGATATGATGAAAAATAAGAGGAAATTATTATCCGCTTTAGGTCATTTGCCTGCTGAGGATACAAGATTAATAGAAATTGTGTCTGAAGTACTTATTGATGAATCCGAGATTATACCTCATAATTATTATAAAAATGTTGAAAAATATCATGGATTTGAAAAATTCAGTAAAAAAATTTGGCTTGATCATGTTGAAGAATTATTAAAATGTTATAAAGAATTAACCTTCATACTTTATGCCGCAAAATCACCACCTCATATAAAAGCTTTTGAGGCCTCCACCACAAGTTTGTAAGTATATAATAATATATCTTTTTTTTAAAAAAAAGTATCGATCAATTTTTATTTATTTATCTTTTATAGATATCAAAATGCTGATAGTCATTTAATCGAATTATCAAATTCAAAGGCTTCTTCGAGTACTTTTTCGAATAAAATTTCAGACTCTTCAAAGTATTTGCTATCTCAAACTGGAATTTCGATATCGAAGATAGATCGCAGAATATATTTAGACACATTTTTTGAATTAGTCAACGTGCAAAAGTTCCTATTCAATGAGACTTTGTTTATAATTCAAGAAATTTCTAAAGCGGAAAAACCAATAGCTACAAGAATTAAAAATGTTTGGTATAGATTTGCTGAAAACTTACAATTTTCTATTCAAAAGCATTTAAATACCATTAAAGAAGTGTCAAGAAATGCTCGTTATGGTAGACATCTACTTTTGACCAATGTAGAAATTCTAGAATTGGAGCTTAATAAGAATGTTTATCAATTAAAATATTCACCTAATAGAATTTCACCTCGGTTGATTAGTATGAAAATATGTAGAAATGTAAGGAAGGAAATCATGAATACAAGATGTTATGAATATAGTTTTGCAAAGGGAATATTTAAGAACGCTATCGATATAAGATTACAAAAATTATTGGAAGCCTGCAATACAGTGGAAACTTCAAGTATTGAAGGAAAATTAGAAATACATCGTTTAATGCAAAATGAATTTATAAGTTCAGGTATGTTTTAGATAATATATTACGTTTAAATAAATATTTTTTTTTTTGTTTTTTTTTTAAAAAATATTTTTTCATTATTTAATCAGGACACTTATATGTATGTTCTAATGGTCATCCGGTAAGTAATAATTTTATAGTATAATTATTAAATTATGGGACGATTTCTTAGTAAATATAATACTTTTTTTAGTACACGGTTGGAGAGAGTGATTGTGTGCAAGTGAAAATGCAAATTCCATGTCCAGATTGTGATGCAAATATTGAAATTGGAAATGATACAAAAAAAGAATCTAGTAATTGTAGTATAGTGTAATATACAGCATTTAAGTTTATTTTTTTGCAACTTGCAACTTTTCCGTTGAATTATTGTTTTATAGTTATCATCATTACAGATTCTTTTAACTATTTTTTTTAAATTTCATATCAAGTATCTTAATATAGCCCTTTAATTAAAATCTTGCAACAAAAAAATATACACTGCTTATTTGATTTTTGCACATATTTGAAATATAGGTTTTAATAAAAAATATTATCCTATAATTTATGATTATGTATCTATAAACGAAAATGTTTTATTAATGTATCTTTAATATGTTATTAATTGCCAACTCTTCAATTCATAGGTGTGATAACGAGTGCAATTTGGAAAACTTGTATATTGGAAATGCATATTAATTAATCATGATGATTAACTTCGTTATATTTAACGAATTTTCAATTTGGAAATGAAATATCATCGTTAACGATTTCGCCAATTCAATGCGAATATTTATAATGCACAATTGGTTTTAATTTTGATAGCTTCGATTCCTAATTATTTTATAATGAAATTTCTCAAAACCATATTTTTAATAAATAAACATATATTTTATTGTCATTTACAATACAAAAGCATTGTATACATCTATTCTGAATGGTATAAAGAAAATACGATGAATAACTAATAACTATAAGAATAAAAAAAAGTTACATTTTCTGCTACCTTTGTTTAGGTGTCAAATTTTATTGTCATGCTCAATACTATAAAAAAACAATTTAGCAGAGTTTCTCAGAAAATGATGGTAATCACGACTTTGTAAGTGGACTTAAGCGTACAAGTAAATTATTTAATTTATCATAAAATATTCTCTTTACTACTTGAAAAGCATATGAAATACATAAATGTTGTAAGCTTGCATGAAATTGTAATTTTAACAATAATATTCAGGTTAATAACCACATTTTCATCGCAACGCAATGGTGTATTCAATATAATGATTCTGAAATATCAAATTCTAATGCATTGGAAATATATTCTATGTATTATAAAACTAATTAGCTCATGTTTAATTAAGTATATATTTTTAATTATATATTCTTTCTACTTACTATTTTTGTCAGATTCATTATTATAGCTCTCATTAAATTTGAATTTTTTAGTATTTATATCTAAAAATAAAATACGTTGTTATAATGTAATATTTATGTATTAATTATCATTTAATTGTTAATAAAAAGGTTTTATACCATTGACATTGCCTGAATAATTACTGTCATATATACTTTCACCTTTATTATAAATAAATGTTAAATAGTTATTATTAAGGTTACCCTCGTTATGAAATAACTATATTTACCTGAAATGCTTCGACTTTGTAAACTTCTTTTAGATTTATCATAATTTATTAATTTGCTTTCATTATTAGATGTTATTATGGGTCCAACATCCGGTGATTTTATAACAATAGTTGCACTTTTTTCTTCATTCAAAATAATTTTATCAATAATACTAAAAATAACCTCAGCAGTTGGTCTTAGTTTCGGATCAGATTGCCAACATTCTTGCATTAATTTAATATAACCCTCAGGAGCATTTGTAACGATAGGAGGACGGATATTATCACAAATATCAATAATAAGCGATGTATTATAATCTCGATCCCAAAAAGGTCTTCGACCTACCATTAATTCCCACATAATCATACTAAAGCTATATATATCTGAGGCTTCAGAATATTTTTTGTATTTCTGTCCTTGAAAAATCTCTGGAGCAATATAAGGAATGATTCCATAATACTTATTATCATTATTTAATGATTCAGTTGATAATTTACTGATTCCTAAATCATTAATTACAATATCATATTCATTTTTACAGAGAATATTTCCACTATGAAAATCTCGATGAATAATTCCTTGATGATGAATAATATCAAGTGCATAAATTACTTGTTGTAATATTCCTAATTTTTGATTCCATTTAATGCTATTAAAATTTTCAGATATATAATGTTTTAAATCATATTTATAGTATTTCATAATTATTACAAAATCTTTTGTACTAGGATTTTGTGTAATTCCATAATATCTATTTATACTAAATAAAGAAGTCATAAATCCTTCAATTAGATTAGTATTATGAATCATTAAAAGCTAAATTAATAAATAAATAGTTAATATAAAATTTTATAATTATAAATATAAATTAAAAATAATAGAAATAATATAAACACCAAAATCTAATTTCTATTAAATTACAGACTCAATTTAAAAATAAAAATCTAGTATTTTGATAATTGAAAATTAATTTAATACAAAATTCTAAATCTGAAAGTAATAAAAAATGAATATTTAAATATATAAATCTAAATTTATTAAAAATTAGCTATAATATTTAAAAACTAAAATATTCATTTATATTTATATTTAAATCTTATAATTATAAAAATTATTATATTAATTTGTAATTTTTTAAAATTTCTAATTTTTGGTATTTATATAAATTTTAAAAAAAAATACCTCATTTAATTCAATAGATGTAATATTTTTAGAATTATTAAGTTGTTTTAAAGCAACTATCATATTACAACTATTATATTCAAAATTTCCTTTTTCTTCATTCCAATAAGGTGGACCATTCTTCCAAATAGCTTTATAAACTATACTAAATCCTCCTTTACCAATAATTTCAATATTATTGAACTGATTATAAGGAATATAATTTATTCTATTAAATTCTTGAATAGAATTAATATGAGTATATTTAATAAAATCATCTATAACTATATTTCCACTTGGATAATATAATAATTTAAATTGATAACAAATTATGCAAATATTATAATTTTTAAAAGATCATTTTTGTTTAAAACAAATACTACATTTATTACATATATCATATTCTGGTTCAATCAAAAATCTTGTTGATGCAATTTTATAAGCTAAACTTTTTAAATAAAAGCTTTTTATATTATTTTTATTTTCAGCTATTTTTAGATACCAATAAATAACATTTTTCAAATTTCCAATTGTTTTTTTACCATTTCTATAATATACAGCTAAATAATACATTGAGTTAACATCTTTATTTTCAGCAGCTTTTTGATACCAATAAAATGCATTTTCTAAATTCTTTTCTGTTTTTTCCCCATTTTGATATAATAATGCAAGACTACATTGTGCATTTGCATCATTATTTTCAGCAGCTTTTTGATACCAATAAAAGGCATTTTTTAAATTTTTTTCAATTCCTTCACCATTTTTATATAAACATGCAAGATTATATTGTGCATTTGCAATATTATTATCAGCAGCTTTTTGAAACCAATAAAAGGCATTTTTTAAATTCTTTTCTGTTCCTTTACCTTGATAATATAAATCAGCAAGATTTAATTGTGCATTTATATTATTATTCTCAACAGCTTTTTAATACCAATAAAAGACCTTTTCTGAATTTATTTCTGTTCCTTCACCATTTTGATATAAAAACGCAAGACTATATTGTGCATTTGCATCATTATTTTCAGCAGCTTTTTGATACCAATAAAAAGCCTTTTCTAAATTTATTTCTGTTCCTTCACCATTTTTATATGATAATGCAATATTATATTGTGCATATACATAATCATTTTCAGCAGCTTTTTGATACCAATATAAAGTTTTTTCTAAATTTTTTTCAATTCCTTCACCATTTTTATATAAACATGCAAGATTATATTGTGCATTTGCAATATTATTATCAGCAGCTTTTTGAAACCAATAAAAGGCCTTTTCTAAATTCTTTTCTGTTCCTTCACCTTGATAATATAATTCAGCAAGATTTAATTGTGCATCTACATTATTATTCTCAACAGCTTTTTGATACCAATAAAAGGCCTTTTCTAAATTTTCACCATTTTGATATAAAAACGCAAGATTACATTGTGCATTTGCAAAATTATTTTCAGCAGCTTTTTGATACCAATAAAAGGATTTTTCTAAACTCTTTTCTGTTCCTTTACCATTTTTATATGATAATGCAAGAATATTCTGTGCAATTATTTGTCCATTTTCAGCAGCGGTATGATACCAATAAAATGCAATGTTATAGTTTACTTCAGTTCCAAATCCTTCATCATAGCATCTACCTAAATATAATTGTGCAATCGGATGATAACTTGCAGTTTTTATTAAGCATTTAAATCCTTTATTACTAGTGTTTTTATCTAAATTAAGTGTATAATAATAGTAAAAAATTCCAAGAAACAAAACATATTTTGATTCATTTTGATTTTCATTGAGCCAGTTGAAAATATACTCAGTTGATCGAGTAGACAGAGAAATACAAATATTAAGGATATGTTTCGTTTCATCGAAACTTCTACCTTCATTTTGAATTTTATTCAAAAGTATGAATAATTTATCAATTATAGTAATAATATTATCAGTTGAACCAATCAATTCGTATAGCCATTCGTCACACTTCGCTTTTGACATAATTTTGCTGGATAAACGATAAAGTTGTAAATTATGGTTATTTGATAAATTATTTTTTCGTTTTATTATTATAAGCGTAATGAAATGCTATCACAAAAAACGCCCAAAATATTTTTATAGATTTTGTTATTTTACTGCGGTAAATGGTAATATAAAGGGGAAAAAATAATGACAATCATTGTCTTTTTAGATTTCAATCCACCATTTATGTATTGTCCAGGGACAATTTTGGCGCAAAACCAAACAAAATCGGAAAGAAAATGGGTGGTGATCTATTAAAATTGAGGTACGGATCATATGATTTACTATGTCTCGTACCTCAATTTTAATAGCATATCACCCAAATAATAGAACAAGTTATATTAATTGTATATTTTGAGGCGCCAAATTATCGTAGTTCTTTTTGTAATCTAACGTTATTTTGCTGTTAAGTTTTGAGGTCAAATTCTCAAGGTTATAATCCCGATATCATAATTTTTAAAATTGTAATATTATTATTGTATTGGTTAGCTTTGTTACAATTTACAATATTGGAACGCAATAACATTACACTTTTTTTTAAAAAAATAAATAAACTAGGAAATTGGAAGAATGAAAAAAATTAAATTGAAATTTATACAAAAAAAAATTATTTAACTGCGTGGGTGATTAGAGTCTTTATTTGTCTGCCATTAAAATCATATAGTATGTATGTAATTTAAGGAATTAAATCTTTCATTAAAAATGATCGGTTGAATATTGTAAAAATTCATTTTATCCATGAGAAAATTGAAATAATTTATTTTTGACCCCGAGAATAATCTGGGCTTCAATTTGTTTTATCTGTAATTTCTAAGATTTTTAAAAGTCGCATTATGCCAACAAATCTTTTTCTTGTTGAGTATTATTTGGATATAATTCTTCAATCATTACATCGCGTCAAATAACTCTTATAACGATATAGTTATAGTAAAGAGTAATACATCGAATATTTAAATAATTTTAAAGCACTACTTGCCTTTCCAATATTGAACTGTAATTATGCGCTTATATTGTTTCCAAATTTGCAGTTATTATAATCATTTTTATAAAAATTAATAGTATCCTACGTGCAAACAATATTTAACGTTTATTTCATAAAACAATTCATGAAAAAAATCTTCAAAGTATTAAAATACGCTTAGGTTCTATTTCTGATACACATACGGTATATGTTATACTAGGAGGGTTATTTTGTAATGCATTAAATATTAATCACTTAAATATACCTTCCTTTTAAGCTACAAATTGCACGTGCACCACAACACATTAATTCGTGATAATCAATTAGAATAGTCACCGCAGGTAAATAACTTCGATCTTAGTGTCATTGAAGCATAGAATTTAAAAAGTCCTTGAGGTCACTACATAGTAAACCAATTTCTGCAAATTACAGCTATGGCTTTGAGATGGTAATCGGATATTAATGATGATACATGACATGTAAACATGTCATTTAAATTAATTTAAAAAGACTTGTTTAGATCTCGTTATGATCAGATAGCAAATTTGATAATTATTTAATAAAGTTATCAAATACAAAATGGATCCAAGCTGAAAATAATATTGTTAATGAAATTATGGGATGATGATGGTATCATAATTTTGAAAAAAATAAAAAGAAATGATTATGTTTAGTTATGGTGATGTAGTAACGAATTTAAAATAGAAATTATTAAAAGCTTATTGTTATTGTTAAAAAATCTAGTGTTTACGTGGCAGAAATGATAAAATAAATGAGTAAATACATTATAAATAAAATAAAAAGTAAGAAGGAATCAAAATTGTCAAAGCAATGATGAGACCAAAGAAAAGGGCATAACAGGCCCACGGTTTCTATTTTTTAGACATGAGAAAAGAGAAATAAATTAAATATGAATTTTAATAACGTAAAGTTCAAAATGATTAATGCAAAAGAGTATGAAATTTCCTTTCTTTCTTGTAGTTTACTGCCACACACATTAGGGACATGTGTCTATCTCATTCATACAAGAATTCAATACACAAGGTATCCAAAACCAAAACAATTGCCAAAAAATACCACACCAAAACAAGATGTTGCACGGAGTATAAGATTGATGGGAACCGTAGCACTACCGCAATCGGGACAAGGATAACCATTTGTGGATAATTTGTAAATGTTGAAGAAATAGCAATCATATTTGACGGATTATTTTCTGTTGCTAGTGGCAATGTCAGACATGAGAATTGAGTTGGATAAATTTCTGCGAATGGTTAGGGATAAAGTATATGGTGGAGGTGAAGTTGGATTGATATTGTTAAGGACATTTTTAAAAAATTTTAATGCTAGGTAAACATAAAAATATTAAAACCAAGAGCAGAGAATGGTTTGAAATATTTTGAAAAATATTCCATTTCTTCATTTAGAGTATTGTGTAATTAGATAATCTGCATGTTGTTGCCGATATCAATCGAGAAAATGTGTGCGACAGATGTTTTTAAAGATTTTACTTTAACTTCGTAATATACACGTGTTACTTTGCTCTGCATAATCATTTTCACTTCACTGTATCACAGAAACCAAAATCTATAGCGATTTTAATACGAGTAAATTATAAGATTTCATTTCATTTGTCACAAATTCAAAGTTCTGATTAATGATATATACAGTAGTTTGGTATGTAAAGTATTAAAAACTGCAAGTGTGTATGTCGTGAAAAATGATATCGAAATTGATATACAAGGTAATTGAGAAAATAGATAGGTACAAACTAAAATACGACGTATTAGTGATGACGTTAATGAAAAGTTTATTATACAATATCCAAAAAAAAATTAGTAAACATTTTCAGTGAATTTTATTTGTCATGATGTGATTCAATCATAATAAGGAATAATAAATTTATATCTATTTTTTTTTATTATTTTCGACGAACATTTGGTGCGTGTAGTCATTTGTTTTGTTAATTATTAAAATAAAAACATTTAATTATTATAAAGAGCAAAAAAAATCTATTTGAAAACCGAGACAATGAATATTACAACCTATTTTCAACGTCAGTTGCAAATTTTAACTTTTACTTGAAATCCAATCAAGCTCATTATATTTCTTGATTAAAAGTGTTAACTTTTAATTTAGTTCTAGAAGTATGATACGTTTTGTAGAGACGGGGGCGATGTTTTACCTCAATCTAAAAATAAAGGAAAAACAAAGCCTATTTATACAAAATTTTATTTCGTTAAACAGATCCGAAACTGTTAATTAAAAGCGGCAATCCATTTTTGACATCCCATGCAGAATATCAGAAGAGATCGTCATTAAACATGGCGGTGAAATTTCCGAACAATGTTTTTTATATTTATATGCACAACAATCTTTTGAACATATTTTATGCAAAAAAAATTCTTTCGTGATTTGATATAAAATATATGTTTATCGTATAATAAAATTTTAATTTTCTGGATGGATTAGAATTTTTTGAATATAATCGGAAACCGGGATATAATAAAAATTAAAAACAAAAACAAGACTTTAAGAAACAATTTTTTATTTAACAACAATTTTTAATTATGTTATTTTTTCAAATAACGATAAGTAAGATTCAATGAAGCAACCCATGTCGATCCCGTCCATGAATGTTGTAGTATCGATCAAATATAGTAAAATAATTTTTTTTTTAATGATTTTTAAAATATTTGCTGGACGATCAAAAGTTTAAAAAATTTAAAATCGCATCGAAAATACGCCGAAATCAAATTGAGGCGGATAGTATTGCGTTATAATTAACAAAGTTAATTAATTGAATTAATTGACCTAATACCCCTAATACAATATAAATAATATTCTTTTTTCTCAGTGCATACCTTTTTTAATAGAAATTATTTTGCAAGTTTACACAAGATTTGTATTGTTATTTCAACCTCACAAGGTTAGATTGTCTTAACTCTGTCGAAGTAAATATTTGGCCAATCATTTATAGTGCTGACCACCACTGAATCACAATTTAAAAAGTATCATATCAGGAATGCTTTTTTTTGTTAAAAAGATTTGACTTAGTCAGAGACAAGCAACATGCAACCATACGAGGATACTATTGTTATACTATCGACTATATAATTTTATAACAATAAAGAAGCTTGCAACTATTTAAATCATGATCTGATCAATTTCATCCGTCCAATCTTCAATCCTGTGCCACACCTTCAAAAATTTAAGGCACGATGGTTTTTTTTAAAAATTCCAGATTATGTCACCCGTACTACCTTAACATATTTGCTGTTGAGGTGTTCTATTCTCAAAAGAAGTACTTTCTTTTTTTAGATAATTAGGGATAGAACCCACTGGAATTACATCAAATTTTGCCACTTTCAGTCCATAATAAAGTCAATTTTGGAGGCGCTTGTTTTCCAAAAAAAAAAATATTCCAAACCGCGAACATTGCAACCATAATATATACACCATCAACAAGGATTTAAATAAATTCCATTAAATTGTTAAGTATATAGGATACCTTTAACTATCCAAGCATAAACTTTCATCCGAAAATGTCAAGTGGTTTATTTAGGAACAAACTAAAATGTTCAACGTATTTTTTTATCCAAATACGATGAGAATCAAAATTTCTTGTCACTCTGTTTGTATATCATTTTATAGTCCGGCCATAAAAAGCTATTGGTTATAGTTTTACAAGCTTTATTCGAAACTTCGATACTTAGCTGACATAATTTCCAAAAGATAGTCACAACAAAACAAAACCTAGGATCTCAAGTATTCAAAAATTAAATTTTTCACCGCCCGCGTGGTTATTCGTTGTGACTTGTTGAAATTTTTGCTAGCTACAATTCGGCGGCCAATTTCAGTATAATCAAGAGTTTGCGGAAAATTACTTGACGATGACTCTCGAAAATTAAGCTTACTCCAATTCAACAATTACCTTATTTATCGCTTGCGAGAAATTTCTTCCGAGACATGACGCAAGCTTTTAGAGGAATCAGAAAGCCTGTACTTACAAGCCGTACGTAGTTGCCTAAAACTAGAAAAGAAAAAAGAAAATAGAAGTATATTTAATCCATCTTATTACACAGAGTATAACCACAAGTTGAGAGTGCGCGTAATTTTTTAGTATATTACTTTTGATTGTTTGTTATCTTTTTTTGTTCCTATTATTACTTTGTCTGTATGTTTAATATGTGTAAGTAATGAATATTATAGTAACTCATGAACTGGTCATAATAGTTAAAAATATGTATTAATATGGTGACACATTTATTTACAACATTTAATTCTCATTAAAAGTAATTTTCAAGAATCTTTGTATAATTACAAATGGATTTCTTTCCTTCTAACCTTTTTATAGTTATTTAGTTGCGAAATTTTAAGATTTATTTAAGTTGCATTTTTAAGAATTTATAATAGGTTTAGGAAGAGAGCATGATTTTTTTTGCTTGCTATCTGCTATCTTTATCATAACTTGCAAGGAACTTAAACAAACCGCATCATAATCTTTAGGATTATTTGTTTTAATGAAAATCTAAAAATCCAAGAAAATAAAATAAAATACTAACCTCGAGAATTTTTAATAAGTATTAGTTACCATGTATGTAACACATGTGATATTAATATCGATTATGTAATTTTGATGATTCATTTTCTCTAAATAGACAAATGGCAATGTTACATAAGTCTTCGATCAAAGCTTATTTAAGTTAAACACCATTGCTTCATATTGTATATAACATATTGTTTTTATACAACAATTGAGATTATCTCCATTTGGCGCAATAATATAAATTTATCGTCTTATATGACGGTCTATATACTAAAAACTCGTTAATGATTGGTAACCTTTACGTACGTCGTCCATGGAATGATTATTTTATTGCATTCTAACCTAAAATATTTTCCCATAAATTTCATCATTTTTTTTTTTCTCAGAAAAAAAAATTTTTTTATTTGTAATAGGAAATTTTGTCAATTTGTGATACAAAAAAATAGAATGGAAGACGTTAATTCCGATTATAACGGTTTACCCCAAAATACCGAATTACCAAATAACAATTTACAATACAACTCGGTTACCACGACTAATCCTTCGCAAAATGACTTACAGCAAGGAACGTTCATAAGTTATTGTGATTGTGGTCTTGAACCAGTTCTTCGGGAAGTTAAGGCAAATACATTAAATAAAGGAAGACTTTTTTGGTCATGCAGTAAATTTGGTGGTCAGAATCATTCGAGAAGATGTAATTTCTTTAAATGGAAAACACAAAATGATGATGAAAATAATGTTGCGGCATCCACAGCTCAAAATAGGCCAGAAATGCCTAACACTTACGATAATGATAATAATAATTATTATAACGATCCTTTCTATCGATCCATCATACAAAGTAGAGCAACTCCTTCAATATCCTTACATTGGAGATATAAGAATCCTAGTCATAGAGCTTCTTTTCCACAAACCCCCGGTTCGCCTCCAACAAGATCACAATCTCACCTTTCTTTAAACTCCATAGATGATGAACTTTCTACTAGAAACTTAACTGGTGATGTATACACACGTAAACCGGCTGTCTTTGATAACTGGAATGATGTACCTAAATATTCTACTCCACAATTATTAGATGTTTTGCAAAATCACCTTATGCAACAAGGTAACATTCATGAAATTCATTCCGTCCGTATGTTTATGTATATGATCTTTAATTTCATTTGATTTTATTATCTAATTTAAAGACAGAAATTATCAAAAGTGGTACACTGCTTACCAATCGACCAAACAAGATCTTGAAGATGCGAGGAAAGAAATCGAGAAATCTAATAGAGATTATGAGATTTTAGATAGAGAAAACAAATTGTATAAACGTGAAATTAAGTTTTTAAAATCTGAAAAGCGGTCGTTAGAAGATGAAAATGTTAGTATTAAAGAAGAAAATCAAGAATTAAAAAGAAGATAATTTTCATATATACAATATTATCACATTTATTTATTTATTGATTCTTATAAATCAATTACATTATTTATAATAAAGTATTCCTTCAAATATTTACTTTTCATATTAACTTTGAATGTATTTCATCTATAAATTTATTAACTACGATTTTCGATTTTCAACAATGAGATTCGAAAGCTTCATTATTCCGTGAATTTAAAATATTCCGCTTTAACTAAAATTTTGGCAATAAATTTAATTAGCATGTATATATGTTAAAATTTTTGGTTAGAAATAAAAATTTACACGAAATTTAATAATCCTAACACTTCAAAGAAAAATAATCCTAAATGAATATGAAAAAAGTAAAAAAGTTATATAATTAATAAAAAAATTTATGATAGAATATTACATGACATGATTTCACCATTCATAAGTTCAGAAAATTCACATTAATATTCAATACAAATTTTTTTTCACAATCTAACAAATGTATTAAGAATATGATATATATTAGCATAGCAAATTATATACCATTGTTATTATTTTGAGAAAATTTCTTTTGATTAATCAATTAAACTTTACATTAAATTTTATTATGTCTTAACATATTTTAAAATATATATATTGTTATCATGTTGATTAAATAAAGAACATTGCATTGTGGTCTACAGGACAAATTGTTCTCCGGCCAAGTCTTTAAATCAAAATTTTCCCTTTAGAATAGTTTTTGCTTAACTGCAAAGGTGTTTTGCTTAATAAAATTGATTCCTGAAGTACTGAGTTCGAGCAAAGTAATTCTAAGGCATTCTGGATATCTGTAAGACGTGAGATTCCCTAAGGTTAGAAAGTCTGATAATAAGAAACTTACTTACCGCAGCAAAGTAACTTAGCGAAACACGTGCGATAAAAAGAGAATTATTTCTAATTGCAACATATAATTTTAATTGGTTTTATATTTATAAATACATCTTAAGTAATTTAAAATAAGTTACATATCAAAATGTCAAAATCTTCGAATTGTGTGAAGATTATTCATATTATACTATTAGGATTAGAAAAGTCCTAAAAGTCCTAATTGGTACTGATTAATTTTAAAAAAATTGTTTTAAAGAATTTTTTTTTTTAAATATTATTATTATAAATAATTTTTAATTAATGTTACTTATTAAAATAAAATAAATTTCTTTTTAAAATTTAAAAAATCTTTAAAATATTAGATTTAGGATCTAAGTCCTAGAGTCAGATCCTAAATTAAGTATATTTCTAATTTTTAAAGAATTTTTATTTTAAATTAATAAAAAAATTTATTTAATATAATAATTAAAAAAATAAATTAATAGTATATAAAACTTTATAACACTTATCAATTTAAAACTTTTAAAAAATGTTATCTACAAATATTAAAGATTGTAATTTATATACAAATAATGTATATAAAGGAAGAATTAGAAAAATTTTTAATAAAACAGATATTCCAGAAAAAAGTAAAAATATTATAACTATTAATATGTTACTTTATCAAACACATTACAATCAATATATTCTAAATGAATTATCAAAAATTAAAAGTTGACAACATCCAAAATATAATATTTATGAATCAACTTCAACAAATTTAACTAAAATTCCAAAAAGATTAATTGAAGTATTAAAGTTAGATGAGAATTCAATGATTTGTAGTATGTGTAAAAAGAGAACTGATAATATTTACAAAATGAAAAATATAAAACACCAATAGCTAGAAAAACCAATTTAAGTAATAATGATAATTTACAAAATGAATTAATAAAATAGATAATAAAAAAATAAAGGTCTGTCAATATATAAGATATAAAATTTATTTAAATGAAGCTAAAATAAATAAAACAAAAAATAAAATAAATAAAAATCTTATTAAAATACCCAAAAGATTAATTGAATTATTAGGATT